AAAAAAGATCTCCAAGAATTGTCTGTTGAAGTAAAATTCATTAAAAATAAAAATTTTACCTTAAAAGTAAATAATGAAAACATTTTTGCTATTAATCAGAAACTGGCTTCTCAAAGGGAACAAATCAACTTTCGATTAATTTACAATAATTAATAGAAGCGAATATGTTTTGTCATCTTATTGCACAAGAATTCATCATAAAAAAACAAAGCATGTTGAAAAAAAGCCAAAATTGATTTACAGTTTAAGTCAAGACAAACTTAATTAAAGATTTAAATAGTCTTGCATAAAAAGACCATTCTCCAACACATAGACTGCTTCGCAGAGTTAAAAAATTCAAAAAATAAAGAAACATAAAAAAGGACGTAAAAATAAAAGGAAATTTAAACTTTTTTATTTCATGCAAATAAAAATTGTACTACCTTTATAAGAGTGAAAGCATCTTTTATATTATATTAACAAAATTAAATATAAAACAGTATAAAGTCCGAAGTTCGGACGTCCATTACCCGGAATGACCTAAAATCCGGGCCCCAAAACCACAAAAGTTTTTCTTCTAGGCTTTACACTTGCGCATTTGATTTCCCCTTCCGCGCATAATAAAACATCTGGAGAGTCCTGCTTCTTAATTTCACTTCGAAACTAAATGAAATACCTTGTTATTGGAGCAACAATCATTTTAGCATAAATTTGTACGATCAGTAATTTGGCTTTGTTGCTGCATATCTGCTTGGCACAGATCTCAAACCGAAACATTCCACATAGATACATCGTTGATCAGACACCAACCTGGTGCATCATTATTTATTATACTTTCCTTTCATTACCGCATGTTTATCAAAATATGACAACTTGAATAATGATTCACGCAGCGATGCAATTTTTTTATGTTACTAATTGAATAATAAAGGAGTATGGTAACCTTTTACAGAGAGAAAACATCTCTGCTTTTACATCTGTGAGAAGACTTGTAAAATTTTGAAATGTAAAGTAAAACTAGATAATTAAAATAATCTGGATGTTCATTATCCGGAATGATCTAAAATCCGCACCTCAAAACCACCAGCATTATTTTCCTCGAAGGCTTTACGCATGCGCATTTGATTCTCCCCCTTCGCACATAATAAACATCTGGATAGTCCCGATTCTTAATTTCACTTCGACACTAAATAAAATACCTTTTTATTGAAGGAACAATCATTTTAACATAAATTTGTGCAATCGGTATTTTGGCTCCGTTGCAGCATATCTGCATGGCAAACATCTCAAATCGAAACATTCCCATAGATATATCGCTGAGCTGGCGAATCATTTTTTATTATACTTTCCTTTCATCACCACATGTTTATCAAAACATGACAGCTTGAGTAATGATTCATGTAGCGATGCCTAAATATTTTTTATACTAGTAATTCAATAATAAAGGAGTATAAATAGCTTTTATATTGACATTACGCTTGGCGATGATTACAGATTTAAGTTAAATGCACTACAAAAAAGTTGACAAGGAAAAATTTACCAAAAATGTCTTTCAATATGCTAAGATTTTGTTGATGATACTCATAGACCTAAAGATTACATTTATGGCTATTTGAATTAAGAAAAACTGATTTGTTATTCACATAAACCCAGAACCAGCGCCATGGCTCACCGAGTCGAAGAATTTAGGACCCACAGAGACTGCATCAGGCAGTAAGATATCTAGCGCCGGCCCTCAAAAAGGCTTAAGTATATGTAGGAATTTATTTATTCAGAACTCTGATAAGCCCTAAGCATATACAAGAAATAGACATAAGTATAATAAATAATACAATTCAGGCTTAATCGTCTCACTGTGCAATAGAAGCAGATAAAATTTAACGGATGAAAATGATATAAAAGAAATCCTTCATTGTGATGACAATGCTTCTGAATAATCAATCACTTAATGAATGGCAAAATCTGTACTATGGTTCTAGATCTAGAAAATACCGCTACCGACAGTAAAGAAAATGACAGAGAAGTTACCAAAAATGAGAAAATTTCGATTGACAGGTTAAGTCTGAATTTTCAAAACAGCAGTTATAGGACTTCAACAATGTAACTAAACAAGAGTATGTTGATGCTCACCATAATGGAATGTTAAGAACATTTGCCAAGTCTTAGAAATGGAAATTGGCCCATTTTGTTAAGAAAAGTAAAAAGCCTGAAAAACTAGCATTTTACATTATTTACAATAATTACATGAATAATAACAGAAATTTAAAAATTTTTCAACTGACAAGCATCCAACATTATCCACCAGGATGTTTTAGAGTGATATTATGATATCCCTCCAGGAAAAAGACATACTGAATATTTAATACCTTTTTTTTTTCAAGACAAAAATTACTAAATTTATCAGGCACTTGATTATTTGTTAGAATTTTAAGTAGTAGTAGAATTTTATTTTGAATATCAAATGTATCTGCACAAATATTCTTAATTCGATGTATTTGACTAAGCACTGTATTACTAATCACTTCTTTAGAAATGCTAGAAATCCAATTAACTTAGTAAAATAAAAGCGATGAGTTTTGTAAGAGTTGAATCTTCGTAAAATTTACTATTTGAAGATCTGTCAACAGCTTTTTGCGATGAAGTAGTTTTATTAAGTATTGGAATAAATCTAGATAAATTTGGGAACTTTATTTTGTTAAAATTAAAAGTAATTAGATCAGCAATGCATCTAAATATTAGTGTAGAAAATTCACATCTCTTATTTTAATGATTTCAGGAATTTAAATTCTTTAATAAACATAAAGATTACAAAGACTATGCGATGTATGTGCTCTCATTGGTATTCCTTTCATAAAAAGCTGATTTTCAAATTTAATGAAGTTATTAAAAATAGTACAATTAAGGAAGGTCTTCCATTTATTAAAGTCTAGTATAGTAAGCATAGTAGGAAAATGATCTGGAAGCGAAAGAAAGCTAGTGTAGATTTCTTCTAATGGAGGCGAAGTATACAAATTTTCAAAGCCATAGTAGGATATTTTGTACAGCTAGAAAATTAATAATGTTAATAATAAGGTGGTTATTATTGATAATCTTACAATAATTACGTTCCGTGTTACTAGTAGCGAACATTAAATTACAAATTTTTTTTAAGCTGCCACACAAATAGTCCATATTTTTCTTTTAGTTATTAGTGCCATTTGCAGTGAATCTGAGTTTTAGTAGTGTTTTATAGAACTTTAAAAGAGCGTAAAGGTTAGCAAATCTGTTATAGCCCAGTACTATAGAAATTTTTAATCTTTTCTAAAAAGCTTTAATTTTGTTAATTACTGAAGTTTCCACAGTATTACTAAGTTGATAAGTTGTACCATTAAGCAATATATACATATTTTTTTTATGTAAAATTTTCGAATAATACTTAAGTTATTGTTTGCTTTATCTATTTGAGTAATTGTAAATTGATGTCTTAAAGTTTTAATACTAGAAAGGTCAGACAGATTTAAATTGCTGTAAAATTTTACTTGATTAATTTTAGTTTTTATTTGTTGTAGTATTTTATCCTTTCACTATCAATTCTGGCTACTTTTTTAGACATGATCTGGATTTTATGATTAGCTCTTGTGTAATACAGCAATGAAACACATTCGTTTCTATGAATTATTGTGAATTAATCGAAAACTGATTTGTTTCCCTAGAAAAGACAATTAATTTCTGATTGATAGCTAAAACTGCTTCAATATTTACTTTTAACATAAAATTTTTAATTTTAATGAATTTTGCTTTCAACAGACGATTCCCGAATTTTTTTTACGTATTTTATTAATATTCACAGTTTCTTTTCCTAAAAAATAATCCAATAACTACTTTAATAAATACATTCATACATATATAATGGTATAAATTTAAATGTAGAAAACACTTATGTTTCTGCCACCCAATGTAACAAGCCTACCCAACCAATAGTCTTAAGCAATTATCTAGAATATAAAGATGAATTATTGATCCCTTTAAATGCATAGAAATATGAACTTTTAAGGTAATGTCCATAATTTCCAGATACAATTCAGATGGCAGATTTACTTTGTCTCTTTCTTCAAAAGATGATAAACATTACTTTGTGATCAAGTTTGTAGAAGACAAATCAAGTGGTACATATTCGCTTGGTTTTTAAAACATATTCAGTCTCTGTGATCTTGGATTTGGTTACACATTTGGCGAAAGTAAAGAGAAAGTGCAAGTTGGACGCATGTAGAAAATTTGATTTCTGTTACATTCTCTCAAGATGATGATAAAATAATCAGTCATACATTGAAAAAGGAGAAAGATAATAAGGGAAGGATGAAGGTATCACATGTAGAGCAAGAAAGTTAGGTGAAAAGAAACTGACAAACAACAGTAGATTTTTTATAAGATTTGTTAAGGAATGTTCATCTATGTAAATAAATAATAATGTTATGAAGTTTCACTACAAACACCGCGACAATCTACAGCATAATGTTGTAAGCATGCAGACATACAAAGTTAAATGCCATCGCACTAAAAATTCATAACTTTTATGAGATAATAAATAATAAGTAATTTTAAAATGTTTAGCTTTATTTTTCTGAAATATAAAATCATGTCTGTGTTTCAATTTTACATAATCTGTAATTTTTTTTTAATATTTCTTTAGCTGAGGTTGACAGATTAAAACAACTAATGGACTTCACAGAGCAAGACCATATTATGTTCTAAAAATATACATTCAATTATCTGGAAAAACCTCTTAACCGGAATCTGTGAAATTCTATTTTTAGCCCAATAAAATGGATTCTACTGTATTTCTCATAGTTTTTGAAATAGGATCCACTTAATTCCAAATTTAACCAGTTAAAATACTGTTACTGGTTTTGTCTTGTACAGCACAGTGACTTTACCCAGGCTAAGCATTATATTCATAACTGTTGCTGGCTCAGTTCACAAATTTAGAAACAAATTCTTATTCACCCAGAATATTTATAGACATATATACACAAAAAATTTACCATTTCAGATTTCCTAATCTTCATTTGACTAAACCCCTTATCAATATTTTCAAACGCAACATCCCCAATACACCCCTCTTTGGCAGATTTTTTCTTTTTCCACATAGCAGTAGCTGAATTCCACTCAAACACTTGAACTTCACCACTCTCTTCATCATAACAAAGGAGATTTTCAGCATCATAGAAGCCTGTAAATGAAATTAAGATCTTCAATTGAATCATTCCTTTTCATTAAATTACAAAAACTAAACAAACCTTCTTTAAAATAACAAGTTAGGAACAGTTTGTGGCATATGAGAATACTGTTGATTCTACAGCATTTCTAAGTGAAAAAGGCTTAAATTAAAAAAAAAAAAAAAAAAAAAAGAGTACCCCTTTTTAAAGGAAGGGAAACTAAGACTAAACTGTCAAAGGGCAGGGATACATTCTTTGGCCTAATAAATAATCAGGATTTTATATCAGAATAAAGAAAATTTTTATTAGTAATATCATAAAAACATAACAATACTAAATGTTCTGTGCATCTGAAAATGTACTTTGCAAGTGTGATTCTTTCAGACTATTTCATATAATATGCTACTTTATATGCATGACTATTTCAAACAATACAGTTACATACAATTTAAATTGCACAATGCAATTAATACTATTCAATATTACATGCAATGAATTTACAAAAAAAAATGCAATTTGATTTTTTAACACATTAAACTTTTTAGAATTTTTTTATTACTTATGTGGTTATAAATTTAAAGAAACACCTATTATTAAGTTTCTATGAATGTGCTTCCTATTCATTAAAAATAAGATAACAGTGTTCTTGCAGAGCAATTTCTTTAACAAATATTTCTCTACAAACTGATATTTTTTTGCTGTTAACAAGCAGTAATTAAACTAAGCATCAAGCTGTTTTGGGGAAAAGGTAGAAGAGTCAGACCTTTAGAGAAGGCTGATGTCAATCTGAAACATCTGCCATTAACCACTGGATACAGGCTATTTCCCAAGCTATGGTATTGGGAGTTATGACAGCATATATATCTCTTGGTAAGACAGCTGTAAAACACGTCAGTGGGTGAAATGGACTGACAGACACTGAAGCAGATAACAAGATTAAAAAATACAATAACCACAGCCAAGACTTAAGATATGAATCAGAAAGAACATTCACGATAATGTAGCATTACAGTTAGAGGAAAGCAGGCTTCATGAACAACACATTCATCACAAAGTAGCAATTCCCAAGCCACTTGCAACAAGCATGAATACAAACTTCAACTACAGTGATGCCACAAATACAAATGTTGGTCAACTGACATGTGCAAAAACATCTTTTAGTCAGATGAATCATCTTTCAGATTGTTTCCCATAAACAGGATGTCTAGAACACATCAAAAGAAGCATATGATCTAGATTTTTTCATAACAATGGTAAAAAAAAATTAGCAGATCAATCAGAATTTGGGCGACCTTCTCAATTACTTGCAGGCCACATTATAATCCAAAAAGGTGAACAGCTAAAAGGTTATGTTGAAATGTTAGCTAACCAGATCCGATGCAAATATTTTTTCCCACAGAGGATGGAATTTTCTTAGATCAAAATGTTCCGATCCATGCAGCTACATTTATCCAAAAGTGGTATACAGAACCTGAAGTAAAACATCTTGCTTAGCCTGCACACTACCCTGATCTCAAGTATCATGAAACCAATTAGATTTGTTTTAGAGAATAAAGAGTACTTCTGCATTCTAGTGTTAACCATGATAGAAAATTACTACCTTCATAACTGATCACCAAAGATGATCATTGGCTGAAAATCAAACCTACTTAACATTGCACACAGGAAATCTGTTCTTTTAGTGGAAAAAACGCATTTTTGTGCTGCAAAATTAAATAATGAAATGATGATCACCCGCATTTTTTCGAAGACAAAATGTTATCAATATCTGATTTACTATAAAGAGGAAAAAAACTAACAATAGTATTCTTCCAAGGAAAAACATTTGAACTTGTAATAAATAGATCATGCCAAAATGCAGAAGAAATTCACATATGAATCAGTAATGAAAGCACTTGAAAATGCAGGGTTAAAAGTTGCAGTGAAAAGAAAGATATCTGTGCTGGTGGTTCTATGATTCCCAAATATTTCCTACAGCATTATAGTTTACATACTCCTACACACAAGTTGTGTCTACTAAATAGTACATGAAGTAATTGAAACTTCATATCTGTTGACTGGAAAAGTTATGAAAATGGTCTACTCAAAGTATTCAATAAAGCAAGCTAATGGATTAATAGGCAGAAAAGACAAAATTGCAGAAATAGATGAAAGTTTCTTTGTTTGGTGTGCTGGAAAAGATTCTTGGAAATCAGTGAATTTTCTGAAGGAAGGAGAAATCAGAAGGATTCACTTAAAAACTTGTGAATGTCTTTTTATTAAAGTACCAAAGAGAGATGCAAGAGCTTTTATGAAAATTATTTTACAGCAAACAAAGGAACTGGACAAAGCTGGATACAATCATTTGACTGTGATCATAAATTCAGTTTCACCGATATCTGTTACTCACACTACAGAATATTACAGAGTTTAACAATATAACAGTAAAATCAGATATGGCTCAGCATCATTCAGTCAGTCCTAGCAGAATTACTGCAGTACCAGTACACAGAAAAGGAAAACTTTTTTGAAGTCATGTTAACAACTGCAAATATGTGGTTGCTGGAAATTATATGCAAGAAAAAATATAAGCAAGAAATGTTATGTTCCCTCCCCCCCTCCAAAATACTTTCATTATTTCCATGTGTTTCCTGTTCAGTGATTTTTTTTTTTCATTCCACACTTTTTTGTGCACCACAGTTTTCTTTCATAGGGGTAAATATAACATGGTACCAAATAAAATGAATTTATATCCAATACTACCATACATACAGCTACTTCCAAGAACTGCTTTCTTCCTCTCTCACTTTTTTTAAAGTAATACTTTTTTACTTATATAATTCCATTCCCATTAAAATCAAAGTATTATTACCTTAAAAATGATTCTACACCCCACTGATAAAGGACTTCATGTTAATGTTTACTTAGCATTTCTGCTATTTTGATGACCAATCCCAGACAGCATGCCTCCAAAAACATACATTTTTATTTTAGTGAAATCTGGATTTGGGAAAAATCTGAGATTCACAGTATCAGTAACAAATATGAATTTTTTGTTTAAGTGTTACAATTTTGAATTTTTTTCCCTAGAGAATGAAGCAAAGAACATTTGAGATATGTTACTAAGTATTGCTATGAAGTTGTGTTGGATAGGTTTCAAGGTAATTTTCTATTCTATGAGTTCAATTAACCTTTATATCTTGTGAGATGTATTTTTATATTCCTAAAATAGTAAAATCAAGAAAATTGTACAAAAAGATGCAAAATATAAGTTAAATGAAATGGAGTCGAATCGAATTTAGTAGGAGTTAACAAAAATTTTCAAATGAAATTTGGTTTTTTAGTTTTATATGTTATTTGTTTATTATTATTTATTGTAAACTGATTATCAGATTTACTTATTATTCCATTATATATTTCAATATGCATATTCTTTTTACTTACGCAAAATACTTTGCTATTTGTGTACACAGTAAATACTGTTACCATAAATCAGAAATTTTTAAATCATATGATGAAAAAATTAAGGAGACAAGTACATGAAGAGAGGAAATATGCGAGTAAATAATGGTATTAAATGTTATTTAAGTTTGTTTCTAATATTTGTACTAGAATGCAAAAATTATAAAATGTTAGCTTATATTCTACTTTAATATTGAAAAGTTCCTTTGCACCTAAACGGCTAAAGGCTTCCAGAATTGGTACTTTCACCTACCTTCTATTCCTCATGCATAGTCCAGCTGCATGGAACCTTCTCAGTTTCTGCCACGTGTAATGTAAACATGGTTAGCTTTATTTAAATATATCCTTCATGAAACTATTCCTCCTTAGGTAGTTTTCTTATATATTTTGCCTTAAATCCTCCCGCTGACTAAGAATTTATTAGTTAATACATTAAGCTAAAGTTCGGTAACTGCTGTTAGTTACTAAATTATGTAATTTTACTGATGCTTTCTGACTGAAATTGTGTATTTAAGTATACGTAAGCAAATGCATACATTAACAGTCGGACAGAATTACATTTTGTGTACCTAACTCATCAAATTGTGGGTTATTTTTTAGAAAATTTATTAATGACTAATACCATATTAATACTGCTGTGGTAAGAAACCCTTTTGTAAGGGCACTTTTATGAAATTTCCTGCACTTCAAACAGTGGCCAACTTGCATAAAGATGTATGCACCATTATGAAGATGTTGCTTTTAAGGTATTGAGGAGCCTGTCTTTAAGTAATCTTTAAATAAGCATCTAAAATATGTTCAGAGTAAAAGAGGAATCAATGCTAAAATAGGGATCATCTGGAAAATATTTTAGAGCATACTATTAAATACTTTCATTTATAATATAATTTGTAACATTATATAAAGATGAATGAATATTTCATCTCATTACTTGATCTGGCAGAGAGAAAACATCTCTGCTTTTACATCTGTGAGAAGACTTGTAAAATTTTGAAATGTAAAGTAAAACTAGATAATTAAAATAATCTGGATGTTCATTATCCGGAATGATCTAAAATCCGGCACCTCAAAACCACCAAGCAACGTTTATTTTCCCCTCGTAGGCTTTACGCATGCGCATTTGATTCCCCCCGCTCGCATGCATAATAAAACATCTGGATAGTCCCAATTCTTAATTTTCACTTTCGACACTAAATAAAATACCTTTTTATTGAAGGAACCAATCATTTTAACATAAATTTTGTGCAATCGGTAATTTGGCTCTGTTGCTGCATATTTGCTTGGCAACACATCTCAAATCGAAACATTCCACATAGATACATCGTTGATGAGACACCAACCTGGTGAAATCATTATTTATTATACTTTCCTTTCATCGCTGCATGTTCATCAAAACATGAACATCTTGAGTAATGATTCATGTAGCGATGCCTAAATATTTTTTTATACTAGTAATTCAATAATAAAGGAGTATAAATAGCTTTTATATTGACATTACGCTTGGCGATGATTACAGATTTAAGTTAAATGTCCTAAAAAAGAATTGACAAGGAAAAATTTGTCAAAAATGTCTTTCCATATGCTAAGATTTTGTTGATGATACTCATAGGGCCAAAGATTACATTTAGGGCTATTTGGATTACGAATAACTGATTTGTTATTCACATAAACCCAGAACTAGTGCCATGGGCTCACCGAGTTCCAGAATTTAGGTCCCACAGAGACTGCATCAGGCAGTAAGATATCTAGCGCCGGCCCTCAATAAGGCTTAGTATATGAGGGAATTTATTTATTCAGAACTCTGATAAGCATGTGCAAGAAATAGACATAAGTATAATAAATAACTAATACAATTCAGGCTTATTTGTCTCACTGAGCAATAGAAGCAGATACAATTTAATGGAACAACTTGTTGTTAGTCACCAAGCTTATGATGCATAGCCAAATATATATAGCAAAAGATAGCTAAATTTGACAATAGCCGCTCATTTTAAAGGTTTTCTGATATCTCAAAACAAAGGTTAAATTTTCCGATTAACGGATTTTGTAAAGAAATGTGAAGCGGTAATAAATGAAGATGATATAAAAGAAGTTTTCATTGTGATGAAAATGCTTCTCAATCATTAATCAATTAATGAATGGTGAAATCTGTAGTATGGTTCTAAATCCAGAAAATACCACTACCAATAGTGGGAAAAAAGGGCAGAGAAGTTACTGAAAACGAGATAATTTCGATTGACAAGTTAGTCGGAATTCTCGAAAGAGCAGTTATTGGAGTTCAACAATGTAACTAAACAAGAGGTTATGCGTGTCTACATAATTAGAGAGAAAGTATTATCACATAAAATGAAGCAACTTAAACAACTTATATTGAAAGAAATGTTTAATAAGGTAAACAAATAAATATTTAGCTTTATTTATTTTTTTTGTAAATTTTGATACTCTAGTTCATAATTACTTCATTATTTTATAAATCACGATTTCATATTTTTAATTTTATAATTTCTACATGCCATGTTACTAGATTTAAACTGATGATCTAAGATCCGGAAAAACCTCAAATCCAGAATTGACAAGTTCAGATTTCAGACTTTGTACTGTATTATCTACTTCATCATTTTGATTTTTGTAAGCATTTCCTGAATTCAATATGAAAAATATCATGTGAAAGTATTTTTTTTCTATAAGCAATGGGGAAAATCTACTAACTCATTAAAGAAACCTATTTAACATATGGACAATCAATCAATAATTATAATTCCCGCTTTCTAAAAATCAGGAAATTTCTTTGAAAAATGAGGATCTTTAAAAACGAAACATGGCTAATATATATGGACTTTTTTGCGTTGTACTACCAACTAGTATAAATAAGTTTTACAGAAACCTATAAATCCTTTTCCATTCTTCTTTTGTGTGTGTACAGAAGGAAATTTTCAGGTGCTCCCAGACCAGGCACACTGTGCCGCTAAAGGTTAAATTATCACAGAGATCATATAATCTGAAACAAATCTGATAATTTTTTATGCTTTTGATGTCAATGCATGAAATTATATTGCTGTAATCTAAATAAACATTTAAGAGTTGCCATTTATTCTACATAACATATTTGCATAGATAGTATTGAAGTGCAGTATTTCAAACTTCAGTATAACATTTTGCAGACATATTCAAATGATGTTCCTTTTGACAAATTTATATTTCACAAAATTTCAAGTGAGTAATTTTCATTTCACAAAGTTTTAACAAACAATATAAAATACATTAATGTGAAGCATTCAAGAGATACTGCTATCAAGTTCACATACCCTGCCTTAATAATTGAGAATTTGCATTTCCAACATCTGGCATGGGAACATTAGACAGTCCTCCAAATACACCATGCATTCGGTCTATACTCATATCGGACATTGCAGCTTCAGCATCCAGAATATCAAAAGAATCCATAGGTGTCTTTCCAAGAATATAAACAGTACCATCACTGAAAATAAAGCAGTTCTTAAATAAATTCCACTCTAAGATGTATAAATAGCAGTTTAATGTTTTATAGTTCATGTCATAAAACAATATTACCCAATTTATTTTTATCAGGCAAACCTATCCGACTGCTCACAAAAATTCGCAATGAAATTTTCCAGGGTGATGATGCATATAAACAAAAGAATATGTTCAAAGTTACAATAATTTATCTGCTTCCTGCAGAACAGCAAACTCCTGCAGTCCTGTCTATTAGGTTCAACGAACTCTTTATCATAACCACCGATCAAGACATTAGCGAAAACAGCAAAGTTAACGCGACACCTTACCTTACCCGAAGACCGGTTAATATACTCTTCTTGCCAGCTTGTTCCCATATAATCATGGGATGCAGTACGAAAGATAATTTTTTTAATTAATGTTGTCTCTTATATGCTACTCATTTGAAAATAGTGGCTATGAGTTTTATCTCCTTAAATATTTATCCAATGCATGTACAACAAATCTTGACAATCACAAAATTTTCTGAAATCATATGCATTTTATATTATCATGTTACCTTCAATACATCATGATAAACTATCATTCAAGGAAGTAGTCATTGAAAGATTGTACAGGGTCAGACATTTTTTGTTGTTGTTCGGAACCTGTTTCACTACTTTTAAAATGATGTAAATGTGGACTTATGGGTTTCGGAATCTAGCCGTTACACTTGAATTTCCCTAAATTCCAACATGTGGCACTTCCTGAGGTGAAGTTTGGCTTCCCTTGGTATATACAGTGGTGGCCAAAATTGTGGACACTTTTGGAAATTTTTATGTTTTTGAACTTTGTATGCTTATAGAATACGTTACGTTTCACAAAATGTACTTGTATATATTCACTTGTATATATTATTTTAAAGAGAATTTATTACTGAATTCAATACAAAACACAAAATTCAATTATTTGCAATACAAAAAAAGTTAAATGATAATAGTTATTGATATACATTAGATAGTGATGATTGCAGTGAGTTATCAGTACTTAGTAGGGTACCCTTTATTTTTTATTACAGCTTCACATCGACATTTCATTGAGCTGACAAGAGTTTTAAGCTCTTCTTTCATTATTGAATGATGCCAGGAAACAATTATAGCCTCAATTAGTTCCCTTTTATTTGATGGGCGCCTCATTTGGACAAGAGTTTTCAAACGGTGCCACAAATTTTCGATAGGATTGAGGTCAGGACTGTTTCCTGGCCATGATAACAATTTAATGCTCTTTGTACGAAACCACTCTTTCGATATTTTGGCAGTGTGGCAAGGAGTAGAATCCTGCTGAAAAAATAGCAGAATCCTGCTGAAAAATAAATGAAGCATTGTTGGAAAAGAGATCTCTGATGGAAGGTAGAAGTTTTGGTTCTAGAATAGTGTCAATGTATTTTTTGGCATTCAGTGTCCCATCGATGACATGAAGGCGACCAATACCATCTGCTGACATGCAGGACCAAATCAACACTAAATGAGTTCTTCACAGTTTCTTGAATGCAGTCAGGATGTAGCTCTTCTATTCTGTCTTACATATTTTCGCCCATCGCTACCGAATAAAGATATCTTAGTTTCATCACTCCATATAACTTGTGACCACTGATCATCTGTCCAATTAATGTGTTCCTTTGCCCACTGTAGTCTTTTTCTTCGTTGCTGAAAATTAAGATAAGGCTTTTTTCGTGGAATTCTACCTCTCAGACCAACATCTGTTAATCTTCTCCTGATTGTTCTTCAACTGACAGAAACACCAGCATCATTCAGATCACTTCTGATGGCCGCTGATGACATTTTTCTATCTTGGAGACATAGTCTTTTTATTCTTCTGTCATCAATAGATGTGGTGCACCTTTTTTGGCCTTTCCCTTCTTTGTTTTTTATTGAATTGGTCTCCTGATATCATAAACAAAACTTTCGGACTCCAGATGTAGTCACTGAACCACCCACCTGTCTTGCAACTTCAGCACAGGAAAGACCACTTTCTCGTAACACAATAATATTACATCTCTTTCTAGGTGTCCAATCTACTCTTTTATTTGATGTCATTGCTTCTTGACTATATATTAAATTTTTTACAAACATTCCTACTTGTAATTGCAGTGTATAAGAAACAGTTCCTTCTTCTACAGAACAAAAGAAAATAATGAATTGTTTCAAGTGTAAACATGATGCCAGTTTCTACTGGCAGTTACTAACATTAGATTGGTTCTCAGAACAAGAATAGTGATTGGCCAGGAAAGCTAGACATTACAAACCACTACATAACTGTGTTTTTTATTTATATTAAAGTACATATAACATTTTTTTTTTTTTTTTTTATTTATTTCAAGTAATTGAATTTTGTGTTTTGTATTGAATTCAGTAATAAATTCTCTTTAAAATGATGTATACAAGTTTGCATTTTGCGAAACGTAACATTTTCTATAAGCATACAAAGTTGAAAAACAAAAATTTCCAAAAGTGTCCACAATTTTGGCCACCACTGTATATTATTTGTAGAACCATACAGTAAAGAAATAATAAAAGGCAGCATATTTTTAGACTATTACAAATGCTAAAGCTCAAGAGAATTGCCAAAAATTTCCTGTTCTATAACAGAACTTATATGTATACGAATAGTGCTAAGAAGTGTCTTACTACACGTTCCTGTAACACATTTCAAGGACTTTATACAGAAATCTTTTTCGCAGTAACTTATGTACATTTGATAATGAACAATGAGAAGTTTCACAAAGACGTAAAGTTAATGAAGAAACATTACCAAAAATAGTGGAATTAATACAGCTGCACATTGTACTATGATGCTATAGAATGACAAGCAACATTCCATGATAGAAAATTATTTATAAAATATTAGCCATGATGTTTCACAACAATTTGGAATGTAAAATAATCTGCAAATGTGAAAGCATACATACATTTAGATATAGGTAAACTTTTCCTAGCATTGTAGCTGTATTATTTACTAGACATGGTGGGCAAAAACTGTGCTTGGCAGGGAAAAACCAGCATTTTTTAATTCAGAAGAAAAAAAAAACTGGTTTACAAAATATTTCTGATAAAGCTGCAATAAGCTAATGAACACAAAGCAACTCAATGCAAGTCAATATTTTTTTTTTTTTATTACTGTACAGAATTGTAAATCTACATCACACACATATGGATTAACAACGATCTGTTTAATAAAAGCCTGAAACACTTTTAGTAACTTTTACCTTAATACAATGTATTGAAAACATCCCATTTGCTGATTAAAGAGATAAGCACTTCCCATTATAACATAATCAAATAAAATTTACAGTCAGCTGTTGGACAGCTTTCGTAATTGTGAAAACTTTTTGTCTCATTTTTATAGCAACTGGTAAAATAATAAAAATATTGGGAGAGTCTTCAAGGAATTTCACCCAATATTGTTATTATTAAATTTGTTACGGAATTTAAAAGTAACAGTTGATGACAGAAAATTTTGTTCATATATTAATAATAAAAATTGTGTCGCTTAACCAGAATGGGACCTTGTGTCAATCTCTTGCTAATGGAATATACCTTGAAATCGTAAACACCGGGTAATTTTTATGGGAGGTTTCTACATTCCAAAATACCCCTGCATTTGAAAGGAACTCCAAACTGACTTTAATGCATGTAATATGAACTCTTTGTAATTCAGTTCAGATGTAAAATATATTAATATTTACTTGGATATTCTAAATTTTATGTTTTTTGGGTTATTTCATTTTAAAATTTTCTTATACTTTTAGAAAATCCTGCTTAGTGAAGGAAAACTTTTATTTATGAAAGTACTTTTAAATACAATAAAAATAAAAGTAATACTCAATCTACATTGATGAATAAACTTATGAGAATAAACTTAGAAATGTACCACAAACAACAAAATTAAACAACATTAAATACAAAAATTAACTGATTAAATATTGCCTGAATCTTCAAATAAAAATTTACAAATAGAATAGATTTAAGATAACTCACATGAAATTTAATGCAAATAATGTAATAAAATAAGATCAATAAAATTTAATAAGAGCTTTTCTGAAAATTATTATATATGAGGGCACAGAATTTGTCTAATTCAATAAATTCAATTGATTGCTGGGAAACATTTTTCCTAGTAAAGGCTAAAAATTAAAACCCAGGAAATTCAGTGCGCTACTTGGAGACCAGAAGATGTGATGAAAAATCGGCACAGTTGGCAGGCAAGCATACTATATCCAAATAGCACTGACAAGTTGAGCTTAAAAAGTATTGCTTCGTGCGTACGGGTTCGTTACGAAATGAATGCACAAGTCCGATGAAAAATGAACAAAATTTATTATTATCACAACAAGTATGCTTAAATTTCCTCAAATTATCGTGCAGTATTACAATATCTCACAGTAGTTATATTTTAATTACTCAAACGTTCAATAGAACTTAATTCAAAACAGCTAAAGAAAGCTAATCTGCGAATTCGCTACAATCTACAAGAGCAGTTTTCTAAACAAACTCTTAAAACAAGCAGCTAACTAAAATCACTGACTGACTGAACTGAGAGGTTTTCCTCTTTTTTATAAGATTTTAAATTGCGCGAGAGAACTTTCTTGAAATAAAAAAGAGATATTTATTTAATGTTAAATGCACACGCTCTTTTATTTTTAATCTTCCGGCTTAGATTTCTTTTAATATTCGTCACGTGCTGCACTGCACAGGGAATAAAACAATTTTATTTGTAATTCAACTCACATTAGCTATTCAAATACCAAATTCGTAACAGTATCATTTAAAAGGCTGCTGAAGCTAATAACAACCTCATTTACTTAACACAGAAAAAGCAAAGATTATTTCATCAGTTTGTTTTAAATGTGGATATCTGGCCATTATCATTCTCAGCAGGCATACCCAAGTGATTTCATACAAAAGACAAATTTCCATCAAAAACTATTCAGGGTTGCCACTCAAACAGGAGAATGAAATTCCCTGACTTTTCCAGTTTTTCCAGGTATGTTTCGAGAAAATTCCAGTCTATCCGCGTAATGTACGTTGGCTGTGCTAAGAGGTAAATTAATTATGGTATTACTTGTACTGTGTAGCAAATTCACTTGATTATTCAATAAATCCCAGAGGACATTTATTCTTAATTATTCTTGGTACACTTTGTTTGATAATTTTGTTTACTTTTCCGCTTAAAAAAACTTAATAAAATTTAAGATATACACATTGGATAACAACTGTATGTTTTATTTAATTATTACTCATGATCATCCCCAGTTCAACACGAAGCTAATCCGGTTCTTATAAATCACAACGCAATGCTAAAAGTTAGGTTAGATTTTAGGTAAATTTAATTTGTGTGAGGTGTATTCTTAAAAGGCACCTTAACACTTGAAAATACAAATATAATTATATAATAGGAGCTGTTTTCTCCACTGAAGATTGGAGATTAGAATCTGCCCAATCTGGAATGAAAATAAGGCTTTTTTTTTGTCAGACATTTCTGCAGCGAAACTAAAGAAAGAAATCTATTTAATGATATTTTTTACTAAATTGAGGTATTTTATATTTATTTCAGCAGCATACATAAGGGAAAAATATGTGCATTAAATTTCGTGATGTCATCATACTGCTAGAATTTCAGGATTATGCCAGAGAAAATTTCCTGAAATTTGGAAATATTATTTACTAATGATAAATAAATTTAGAGCGAAGAAGCAACATTAAATGATATGAATAACATAAAAATAAAGATAATTACCTAAAAATTTAATTAGAATAATCAACGATATTTTAGCGAATATACTAGTTATATTACATGGTTATCCTAGATGATTGATTACTATTTTTTTATTTTACTGCAAAATGACAAAGGTATTTATTTAAAAAGAAAAAAAAAAAAAAAAAAAAAGATTTGTGCGGTAAAGATCCTAGTATACGATAAGGCCTTCGCATGATTTTGAAAATTGTCGCCAAGAACAAAATGACCCGTTTACTGCTCATCATCATGTCGCCAAATCCCGCTGTACCATACATGGAGATTATTCTGACCAAAGAAGCTCTATGTAAAAAGCGGAGGGAAAATTTGCCAAGGGATTTGACGAGAGAACGGCCAGAATTTCCCTCTCTGCGATGTGTACAGGAAATTGAGAAACACGTGTTAAGAAGAAACGTTCTTTAACAAAAAAGAAAACTACGAAAATCCGTTTTTAAATTATTGCGAAAAATCCAAGAAGAAACGTTTTATCAAAGAACGTTTTTTCTTGGATTTTTCGCAATAATTTTAAAATTGGATTTTCATAGATTCCCCCCCTCAAAATAACTAATCCATGAATTAATTTACTTGCGCCAAAAAATATTTTCTTTTCCTTTAGAATCTAAAGACATTTTAAACGATATTCATTTTATGAACTCTTGATAACATGACCTTCGAACTTCGACACCGGTTTCCAGCTTTGGCGACAGATATATCGCACATGCACAGCTGTTTCCCGCTATGATGGAACCGAGCCACGTCTGTTGCAGAGAGGTTTTCCTTCTTTACAATACATATTTTTTTAATTCTAACCTTCATGGTACCGTATACTAGGATTAAACCCTTTTTGTTTTATACGAGAACAGGTACTTTCTTTAGTTCATGCACTGCACATGTGATTCTCGAGGTTACTGGAAACCAAAAGTTGCGGGAAACTTGCTTTGCCTTTCTAAAAAGACAATCAAATTGGAGCTGCAAAAATTGGCTCTATGCCAACTGCCCGAATGACACACGTGATACACAATTCGCCAAAAAAGTGATCTCTTCCGGCGTCGGCGCAAAACGCGCCTTTTTTGGCGGGATCATTGTATGAAATTCCCTGACTTTTCCAGATTTTGACTAAAACACTTAAATTCCCTGACTTTTCCCTGAATTTTTTGGTTAATTTCCGAATTCCCTGATCCGGTTTTCCAGGTAGCGTGGCAACCCTGACTATTTTAAATCTTCAATTCATTTTTTCATTAAATGCATTTGTTGAGACATTAGGTTAGTTGGAAGCAGGCAGGATGAAAAATGAACGCCGACTTCACAGGGAATCAAACTGCGGACCTCTGGAATACCGGCCTAATGTGCAAGTCACTACACCATGAAGACACACCAGGAAGGTGGGAGAAATACCTTACATACTCCCTATTTTAAAGGGCGACTGAGGTTTTTTAGGGGACCCAATCGCTAAACCCTGGGTGAGGAGAATCATCATCACACACCCCTTTAGTTCGGGCACCACTGTAAAGACATTAGATAATACTTAAAAGCAGGCAAGACGAAAAATTAACAATGCCTTCACCGGGAATCGAACCGCGGAACTCAGGAATACCGGCCCAATGTGCAAACTACTACACCATGAAGGCTCGCCAAGAAGGCAGGGAAAATACCTCAAACACTATCCAAATGCCTGTCAAACTTTATTTTACCAAAAGTATATTTTTTATCTTTGCAAAATTAAACAACATGACTGCTTGAATTGCATATTATTTTGTCATTTTTAAAAAAAACTTTACTAAAAAATAAAATCCCAAGATTTTACACACACACTGAAGTATCAGCAGTGAGAATATTTACATATTTCCTGGGTTAAGAAATATATCTTTTACTAAAAATATTTATGGCCACTATCTACTGCAGACAAGGTTTTTGGTTCCAGTAACTGCAACATCTCATCTACTGTAAACAAAATTTTTGGCCTATCTACTACTAATACATTAATTAAAACCAAAGCACATAAACTCACCTACTACCAACAGCTAAATCTCCATTTTTCAAACAGGTGACTGACCACAGTGTTTTCGAAGCAAGAAGCAATGACTGAACACAACGACCATTTTTCCAAATTTTAATTGTTTGATCCTCACCACAAGTTGCAAAATCTTGCCCATTGCTCAAAAGAGTAATGCCATAAATGTAGTCTGTATGACTTCTAAAAACTTCTAGGCACTGACCACTAGTTTGCCACAGACGCACAGTACAATCATTGCTACAGGACAGGAACTTCATATCAGAAATAACTGCTAAGCCTCTAACACAGTCTTCGTGTCCTAGAAATGGAAAAATTATTTCATGTATTCACATATTACGATTTTTTAAACATATCAAAAGATAAATTTGAAATAAAATCAATTCTATAGACAGAGATAGAATACCACTTTTCAGCAATTAATCAGGCATTTTTTATGAAAATAATAGACATGCACACTTCATCCCTACAGTAAAATAACTTACATAGCTGAAAGAACAAAAAGGTATACAGTCAAAAGTCTTTAATCCAGACGTCCATAACCGAAATGATCTATAATCCGGACCTCAAAGCTACAAACTTTTCAAAGACCTCAAACCTCAAAGTTCATGCATGCGCATAATACGTTTACACATGCGCGTTTAATGTATAACGGATGGTATAAGCTAAGCTAAAATTATCTAATTATCTATATCAGTTAATGTTCCAGATTGCATTGTTCTTTAATCTTCGAATTGGATCTGACTTATTATTTTTTGCAGACTGTTAGAGCAATTTTATAAAAGTAAGCTTGAACTTTCGATTATGTCAAAAAGAATTTCCGATTCTGGAGCTGCCAAAGGATCTACAAAGCGAAAGCATGTTTCGATGTCCATCAAACAAAAAGTGGAATTGCTGCAAAAAAATGGATAAAGGCATATCCTTTGTTTCTCTAACCATTCCGAAATCTGTTTATCAATTTCACACTGCTCTGCGGGGGAGGGGGAACGTCGCGGCGCGCAATGAACTGGAAGTTGATCTGTCAGCACTATCCTTATCTTCAGGGCAGATGTTTTTATTTTATTCGGCTTATAATTCCTTACTAAATGTAGTATTTCATCTCGATGTACTCCGTCTTTGATATGATTTAAATCAAATTCCTCGTCATTATAAATATCACGAATACACATCAAATAGTTTTCTGGTTGCAATTTTCTAATTTCGACTATGCGTAATGTATGCTTTACGCATGCGCGCATTGAAAGAAATGTTTAATAAAGTAAACAAATAAATATTAAGCTTTTTTTTTTTTTTGTAAATTTTGATACCCTTTAGATCATAATTGCTCTTTATTTCATAAATTACGGTTTCATATTTTTAATTTTAGAATTTCTGCATGCCATGTTACCAGATTTAAATTGATGGTCTATAATCCGGAAAAACCGATAATCTGGAATCACCGAAGTCCCGACGAGTCCGGATTAGAGACTTTTGACTGTACTTTTAATTCAAATTTTCTTTATTTATACCCTGCACTAAGTAACTTCTAGTCTTAATGTTTTATATGCATCTTTAATTAAAAGTTAAGTCTCTTTTCTGTTTATAGGATGCCATTTAGTGACAAACATAAATGCATACTTGTCAAACTATGACAATAAAAAAGGAGAATTTTCTCCACAACAAAAAGATTTTTTAAATAATAAAAATACATTGAAAGAAAATGTGCTTTTTAATAATGAATAAACTTTAAAATAGTAACAAATATCTGAGAGTTCAATTACTAATTATTAAATGCAAATAATACAGAAATGCTTACACACAAAAAAACAGTTTTACACTCAAAAGTCGTTAATCCGGACTCGTAGGGACTTTAGCGATTCCGGATTATCGATTTTTCCGGATTATAGATCATCAGTTTAAATCTGGTAAGATGGCATGCAGAAATTATAAAATTAAAAATATGAAACCGTAATTTATGAAATAAAGAACAATTATGATCTAAAGGGTATCAAAATTTACAAAAAAAAAAAAAAAAAAAAAAAAAAAAGCTTAATATTTATTTGTTTACTTTATTAAACATTTCTTTATTAAACATTATGTAAGTTGTTTAAGTTGCTTCATTTTATGTGATCATACTTTCTCTTTAATTCTATAAACAGACATAATTTCTTCTTCAGTTACAAAGTTCCGCTGTTAAAGTAATATAATTGCTGTGTCGAGAATACCGACTAATTTGTCAATCAAAATTTTTTCTTTTTCAATAACCTCTGTGTCACTTTCTTCTTTATCAGAAGCGAATTATAATGACGAGGAATTTGATTTAAATCATATCAAAGACGGAGTACATCAAGATGAAATACTACATTTAGTAAGGAATTATAAGCCAAATAAAATAAAAACAGCTGCTCTGAAGATAAGGATAGTGCTGACAGATTAACTTCCAATTCATTGCGCGCGTGCAGTCCGGGGATAAGTTCCGAGGTTCCTGTCTACAAGATGATTTTTCCGGAATAAGTTCCTTGGTTCCTGTCTACAAGATGACTTTACCCGAATAAGTTCCTTGGTTCCTGTCTACAATGTGAGTGACTGCCGTGGGCGGCATCCACGTTCTTCATGAAGGCGGCATTTAACATAAGTTAGCGGCGATGTTTTTTTTTCTAAGCTGTGATTCCTCGTGTTCAACTACAGTGAGCGGAGTTAGGCCGTATTTAAGTGCTCTCAAGGACTTAATTTAATTTTCAGGTGCTTTTTGATCATTAAGCGTGGACCTATTGACAATGTAGCTAATTTCATTTGAAACCGCATAATTTCTGTTTAGGATACGTTTTTCGCGTATTGAATGCAAGTATTTTGGAGACCAGGTAAAATATTATTTGATATATGAAATTTTTGATAATGATGGTTATATTATAATTTCTAAGTTACTGATATTGTTTAAATTTATTCATTGTGTTTTTATTTTTTATATATTGTTAATAAATTGGTTAAGTTTGAAAGCCTTTTATTGTCTTCAATGTCAGCACATCACATAACCTTAGGGAGTTTGTATAGCTACTCGTGTTAAAAGTTTATTTTTACAACTTTAAACTTTGCTTTTGCGTCACTTTGGTTATGGGCCTAGCCCCTGAGTTATCTTTAGTGCAGACTTTTGAAGTTTAAAATTAATTTAGGACTTAGGAGACTGGGGGGCGGTTTTTGTTGAAATTCAAATATGGCTACTGTTAATGTTATGCATAATATTACTAAACTTGAGGCATGTAATTATTTTACATGGTCTAAAGATATGAAGTTTGTTTTCAATGAGAAAAATGCATGGCTTTTGGTCAAAGGTATTGAAAAATGTCCTGATTTAAATGATGTTAAGGGTATTACAAAAGAAATTATTGCCGACTATCAAAATAGAAGTCGTTTGGCATTATTTTTAATTTATATGAATGTAAGCCCTGAATATAGAAACTTGATAAGTGAAATTGATGACCCGGTAGTTGCATGGAATACGCTTGCCAAATACTTTCAGCCAGATTATCGATCTAGACATATGTCCTTGTTATCAGAGTTCTTAAATTGTAAAATTAAGCCAAATGAAAGTATTAGTTTCTTTTCTTCTAGATTAAAACGGGTAACTGAACAATTAGCTGATATTAATCAGGCTGTAAGAGATGTATACATATGCTTTCAGTTTCTTAGGTTTCTTCCAGATAAATATGATCAAGTAGTTCAGAATGTTTTGAGGTGGCCAGATGAAAAGTTCATATTTAAAAATGTTGAACTTGAAATACTAGCAGAGGAAATGCGTTTTAATTTAAGAGAGATAGATAAGGAAAATTCCAATAAGACTATAGAAGTCCAAAGTACTCGCTGTGAACCCAAATTTAAGCAGATTAAAGGGCTCAAGTGTTATAAATGTGGCCGTCCAGGTCATATTCAAAAATACTGCAGAATGAAAGGTAATTTTTCCAGATCACTCACCCTCGCCTGCTTCTTCTTCTGTTTCCTCAGCTGTATCTAGTAGTAATAAAACATCTTCCTAAGTGTAAGAATAAACCCAAGTTTGTGTAAAAAATAATTCCCCATGCTCAGTCCCATTTTATAGTTTAAGCTAATGTTAACAATTTGGAGGAAAATGATGATAGTTGGATTTTTGATACTGCTGCATCTCATCATTTTTGTAAAAATCGTGAATTGTACGATACTTTTTCTCCTGTGAAGAATGAGAATATGCTAGTAGTTATTGATGGGGTAACTTTTCCAATTCATGGGAAGGGTACTGTTAAAATGAAATTTGGGGATAAAATTATTTTGCTTAAGGATGTTTTATACTCACCTGAACTGAGACGAAATTTAATATCTGGACCTAAGGTGGATATCAATGGAGCGAGATTTTATGGTAAAAAATGGGCAAATTAAAGTTACTGATGATGAAAATGAAACTTTGTAAAAGGCTAAGTTGATAGGAAGTAACTATCATGTATTCCCGAAAATAGTGAAAAAGGGGGGGGACAAATCTGTGAAATTTGAGGCATCCACAGTTCAGCATAACAATAGTGAATTATGGCATGGTCGGTTTGGTCATATAAATTATGGTGCTATTGTCAGGACTAGTAAGAGACATTCAGTTCGAGGTCTTCCTGTGTTAAAGCACTCACCTAATTTGTTTTGTGAACATTGCCAAATCAATAAGCAAAGACAAATCTCCTATAGACCCTTAGAAGGTATTCAGGTAAAGAGGCCGCTTGAAAGGGTTTTTTTTTTTTTTTTTTTCTTTCTGATGTATGGGGACCTATTAACATTCCAGGTAGGAATAGTGAACGTTAGTGATGTATTTTGCATATTCATTTAATAGAATTTGTCATGAGGGCCAAGATAGAACCCCATTCGAATTGTATACTAAACGGAAACCATTAGTATGTCACCTTAAGGCATTTGGAACGATTGCCTATGTGGGAATTCCAAAGGCTAAAAGAAATTCTAAGCTTGATCCAAAGGCAACGAAGGGCCGATTGATTGGGATACAGTGTACGAACAAAAGGGTACAAGATTTGGTTGGAAAATGAGCAAAAAGGTAGTAGAAACCCTTTAAATGCTACTTTTAAAGAGTCAAGTTGGAATGCAGAAAAGTGGCAGTGGAGCTGCACTGGGCACCCTTCCTGATTTGGAATCTGAAGAAAGGGTAGTGAGTTCCAATCTACTGATACTCCAGTTGGCTATTTTCCTGAAATAGAGGAAAGAATTGATACCAGTGTACCCTTCTTCTATACCTAGCACTGACACTCAATCTACATTGAGACAAGTAACTTGGCTTCGTAAACCTGTTCCAAGGCC